ATTCTGCTATTCATGATACAGAAATTAAAAAAAGTATCTATAGCCATTCTTATATTTCAGGTTGTGTTCACACGCCTAATAGTGAGGAAACTGGATTGGAAAGAATACAGGAGGTGACATGCACCCACTTATGATAAGAGAAGATCACCAAGATTCCATATTGTTATTTAAACATCCTCCATCCTATATATACTGTTTGCCCATTTGAAATAAATGGCTTCTAGAAGTGAAAATATCCCCCCCCCCCATTTTTTTCTCCTTAAAGATGGGGATACTGAAGACTTATGTAATTTGAAAAATTGAAATACAGAGTTCTAACATATCTTACACATGCATTTTATCATATACTTCATGCTAAGGAATAAAATGGAGGGGAAAAAAAAAGTAAAGTAATCTCTACAGATATTCAAATATAATGCTTTGAATGAAAGTTTGCTAGAAAAAAGTACAATTTGAAACCATTAATATTGAAAAGTCACTCTTACCTTTTTTTTCTAAGTGGTACATATATTTAAATCAATTTCTACTGAACGTTTTACTTACCATTCCCACGCCATACTTCAGCCAGATGGCAGCTTCCTTCTCCAGGCTCTTTGCAGAACTCTACTACATCGCGACAGGTTGTTTCTGGTGTAATTGGAACTTCTGTCAAAATCTGTTCATTGTTGCTCAAAAACACAGTTAATATCATCTGAAAGAAAAAAAACGAAAAGTAGCAGAATATTAAAAAAAATAATAATTTATAAGAATAAGATTATGGGTAAGATTTATAATCCCCCTGTAAGTGGAAAAGTATGCTTATGGTTGGTTACCACAAGCCATCAAATTTGTTTTCAGTTTCTTGTAACTTTGCCAAAGCTTTAGTCTTTTGTGTTGATTTTTTTTGACAGTGCATTGAATTGACAATTTTTTTTTAAAGCTTCAGTAGAAATGGTTTAGTTCTGTCTGAAAATAAGGCCAGGAGGGAAGGAACAGGTTTTGGCTACGTTAGATGCTTGAAATCATAGTGTTTTATACAGAAATAAATACATACTTTCACAAAGTAACCTGAAGCTTCACAGGTGGGCAACCCTTTGCATGATTGATGTCGGTTTTGTGATTTGTCTGAAGATACAGTTATATTGGTTTGAGTTGTAAGCCTTTAGTTAAATGGTAAGCCTCAGAATTAAAAAAAACAAAACAAAAAACCAAACCAACATTTTTCAAGGGATTACATTTGCTTAGTACACTTGCTAGAGCTAAAAACCTCTGAGAAGTGGGTTCTTTCTGTACTACTTTAGCCCCAGCCCCGAGCTCGCTGTGTTGGTCAGACTGTACGTGCAGCCTTCCCACAGCAGTACTAAGTGTGCTCTCTTCATTCAAAGTTACAACGTGAACAGACTCCTTTTCCTCTAGTAGCTGCTCCCAGCTATTCCAGTTGGAAAGTAGCCACAAAACAGAAAATAACTTTTCTTCCCCTCCCCACCTTAACAACATTCAAGACGACTTGACGTCAAGGAAAACAAAAAGAGAAAAAGTGGGATGAAATCTATAAAGGAAAAAGCCTAACACTAAGAGCTAGTACTGAACTGGGTCAATGCAAACTTCTGTTCAAATTCCTTGCTCCACCTTAAATAAATGTGTGCAGAAATACATATACCCAGAGATACTCCCATTCTTTTTCATATTAGCAGCTGTAACTTGCTCAAAAGTCAAACACTCGAAAACTGTGCACGTTAACTTAACCCACCTCACCCCCTTGGTGCATATGTATTATATGATCATTAATAATATGTTCACTTGCTACATTCCCCCTATTAAGGGCCCCCCCACACCTTATACAATATTCTCAAAGGATTTGTTCTATAGGCCCTCATGTAGTTTACTGCAAATGCTAACATAGTAAACAGCTGAGGGGCTTGTAAGAAGGAAAAGATAAAAAAACATTCTACCAAGAAACAAAGTCCTAATACAAATGATGCTGAAGGGATTCAATTTTTCCTGAGTGAGACTGGTCGAGGACCAATGAAGGTCACATTCAGACAAGTATTCCTATGTTACACTAAATCCTCTGAAACATACCTGACCCTACGCTCCTGCTTCAAAATTAAACAGATACTTTTAACCGTTCCCTCTCTCTGCACCGTAATTTCCCATCTGTAGTCACACTACTGCTCTGTAAACACATGGGGATAGAGCAGAGATAAAGTGATGTTTAAAAGGCAAAGACCATAATAATCATGTCCCTAAAGAATGTGACAAAATTAGCAATTTTGTCTGCAAAGAAAGTTCTTTCAGATCTTTCCAGTAAATAAAGCGTGGCATCACATATTGAACCACAAAGATTAAACCTAATTATTTAAAAGTCCTTTATTAAATGAGCACTCTCCACTTAAACAAAGTTGTGCCTCAATTTGCATAAGCAATTCTTAAAAACATTCATAACACTTTTATCTGTGGGACATATACATGTACCAAACTGGAGATTTGCATTAATAACAGCTAAATGCTGAGTGAGAGCAGTCTATCTACTTTAGAAGTAGGCGCAGGACAAATTCCAAGAAAGCCCAGGCTTCAAGCTCTCAGTCTACTTGTCACTCCTCCAGGATATTTTAAGTCCATGTTCCTACTCCACCTCAGCCTGCCAAGTTTGTACGCTGTATCCTGAAGTTTTCAAGTAACTACACTTCAACACAAGCAGGAGGCATCCAGGGCTGTAAATACACTAAAATTTATCCCTGAGTTTCTCCAAGAGCAGCATTAAAGGAGGCTACAGTAACAGCCACAGCACAAGCTCAGAGGAAGCTACAGGATGCAGGCACAGATAATAATTAAAGTGCCTGTAACCATCTACTGTTAACAGCTCACAATGGTATTTTCCCCCTGTAGAAGATTCAGACATCGCCTCAATATTCAGTGACTGTGGGATCTTTAACAGAATAAATATCTGATGTGGAATCTAGTAGTGGAATTTGACCTCATATTTAAGAAGAAAGAGTCCTATTTATGAATATAAAACCATAGGCTCAGAAGAAACCTTAAGAGGTCATCTAATGCAGTCTCTTGGCCTCAGGCAGGATCAACTATACCCACATTACTCTGCAGAGATGCTTGTTTAACCTGTTCTGCAAAGCCTTTCATGATGGAAATTCCACCACGTCCCTGAACCATCCACCCCAGAAAACCAGGACTCCTATTCCAAGAAGTTTCTGAAAGTCTAGTCAAAGCTTTCCTTGCCACTATTTCAACCCACTAGTTCTTATCCTACCCACAGGGGTGATACTAAACACCTTTTTTCCCTGAAGTTAAGTTTAAGGAATACATAATAAGTGATGAAATTAAATAAGTTAAATTAAACAACACCAGTTTAACAGAGAATTATTAATGCCAATATTCTAAGTACAGTTTCCCTGTAACACTTGATCATGATTTCAAAATAACATCCCAAGTTTCCCAAGCTTTATGAGAATGCCAAGAGACCCTGGCTTTACTGAAGTCATGCTGTGATGTATACTGGGTCTTGACCATTTCTCTGAAAGACCTGTTACCTTATGTATGCTGGGTCTTGACCATTTCTCTGAAAGACCTGTCTGCCTGCACCTGCAGGCAGGCTGAAAAAGACAGAAAAGCCTTCAAGATGCGAGTTCCCCATACATCTCAGTCAGCTTTCTCTAAAATCAGACCTCAACCACTATTCGAGCTCAGAGTCTCCTTTGCAAGACCAGGCCTTCAATTTTTTTATTGCTGTAAAGATAACTTTTTTCATGTACTCAATGTTATCTGCCTACACCTGCAGACAGGCTGAAAAAGAAAGAAAAGCCTTGGAGATGCAAGTTCCCCATACATCTCAGTCAGTTCTCTCTAAAATCAGACCTCAACCACTATATGAGCTCAGAGTCTCCTTTGCAAGACCAGGCCAAAATTTCCTGTACGTCAAGCACACCGCTTTCTTCTCCCAGCTCCAACTGCACCAGTACTGTCTTCTCCAAAGCCAGGTGTCACTCACAATATCATCTGCCAGACAGCTCGGGGAAAGGCTCCTCCACTAATGAGGAGGCAAGGTGCTTGTAGCCAACTATTGTCACACCACTCCTCAAGCAAACTTGGTTAAGTAAGGATTTATTTTTAACAGGTTGTCTGAGTAACACCAAAGGAACCGAAACACTGTGCTGTGAAAACAGATGTCCTGAAACACACACAGGAAGACTCAAAATATTGAATGTTATTAATATATTGCAATATTAATTAGATTTTCAAGTCAGTGTCATCGTTGTCCGTATTTGTGGTGGGGGTGGAATAACAATTAGAGGTATTTCATAGTGATAAAATACAAAGATGCATCAATGGAGCCTGGAAATTTGCTGCTGAAGGACATGAGTGAAGCATACACATGAAATACACAATACACCCTACACAATACAATACTAAATATGAAAAAAAAAATTCTTTGCCAAAGATTAGGCCACAAGAGAACTGGTAAATTCTTTGATTTCTCATTTTAAATGAATTCATAATTGGCAACAACTGTCAAGACCCATCTTGTTAAAACCCATATTCTTTAAAATGAGATCATGACCATTGTAGCATTTAGTTGATAATTTCCCAATTCACTCATTCAAAACTTTTACTACATGGACACAATGTCACACATCATGGTGATCAACCCAACACTCATGAGCTCACATCAGTGCTTCTAAATCGTATATTGCTTCCACAATGAACACCAAGCTCCAAATGTTACACTTCTCCTCAAAGCTGTTGCTCTCCTCTACTACTCCTGCTACCATACCAATGGCTTTATTCCAACTTCAATCGATTCTCACCTCCTCTTCTCTTCCTTTTAACTTCCTCCCAACCTCCTGCATCTCTCTTCACAGTTCAGGTCTTTTCCACGTCAGAGAAGCTACAACAAACATCATAAACTGCCTTCAAAACCACTCTTGTCATTTCACTCATTTCTCTGGCTACAAAACAGGCACAAATAAGCTGTCAATATGCTGAAAAGCGCTGCCAATCAGGTTAATAAAATATTGGTTTCTCTACTTAAACTGATCTAACAGTCTAACTGCACTCCCCTACAATGCAATTACTTACGACTGGAATAAAACTAGACCACCACTATAAAACCAGAAGACAGCAGCTGATGGAGGATGTTTTTTCTTCCTTAAGGAACAGCCTACAAAGCTAAAACTCCAACTGCTGAATGAAGTCTTTTCCTCACCATTTTTCTATAATCCTGCTGAAAAAAAATAGAATTTTTTTGATCTTCAGCTAATATCCTGAATTAAAAAAAAACCAAACAGGTATACATTTAATCAGGTATTCTTTAACACAATTTTGTGTTAAAGAAATATAACTTACTCAAGTATTATCTTATGGTACTAAGTCCTCAAACACTGGTATTTGAGAAAAAAAATAATTGTACACTTCCACCTCTACTGCCTTACACCCAAGTTAATTTACAAACTCCAACAGCTGAGACAATAAATAGTGGCATTTCAGGCTAACAGCTCATCTAAGTACATATTTCCTCATACCCTACCCACAGAAAGTTGAATTATTTAAGCTATCAGAAAGCAATCAGACAAGTACTGTTTCAGGACATGCTGAAACATTAGAATTTAAAACAAGTCTGAGATTATTTTCTGACAGCAATAGTAACATATTCAACTAGAAAAACAGAGAGAGTGAGTTCTGGGGATGAAGACAGGA